AAATGTTTAATTTAAGTCATATTGTCAACATTTTACTTTATAGCTTCTGGGTTTGAATATTTTACTTTAGGATAAGAAAAATATTAGTTTGTATTTTCTCCTAAAACTCCTTAGATTCTACATATTGATTTTTAACTCACCTGAGCATTTCTTGTATAATGTGTGAAATAGGGTTACATATTTGTTTTATTTCAAGTAATAGTGGTCCATGCACCTTATTTGTTGAATAAGCCTTATTTTCCCCATTGATTTGAAATATCAATTTAATCATATATTACATTGTTAGATATATATGTTTGTCTCTAGAATGATCATTATATTTCATTGATCTACTTGATTATTTTTGTGCTGGTGTCATGTTGGTTTAATTGCTGAGAGTGTATAATGGTTTTAAATTTTTAAATATTTTATAATTATTTATAAAAAATAAATAAAATCAATCTGCATTTAAGAAAGAAGAAAGGAAGGAAGGAAGAAGGGAGAGAGGGAGGGAGATGGAACTCCTACCTTTTGTGACAACATGGATGGAATTAGAAAATATTAAACTAAGTGAAATAAGCCAGTTGATGAAAGACAAATACCATATGATCTCATCTATAAGTGGACTCTACTCAACAAAATGAACTAACAAACAAAATAAACCACAGACATGGAAACATGGAGCAGACTGAAAGTGACCAGAGGGGATGGGGAAGCAGGACAATGGTGGAAAGAAGGGGAAGGGACTAGACAAAGAACATGTATGAATAACTCATGGACAAGGACAATAGAGTGGGAGTTGACTGTGGGAGCCGGGGGTGGGGGTAGGATGGGTAGACAGGGGTAAAGGGGAAAAAATTGAGACAACTGTAATAGAATACACATGATTTATAAATTTTAAAAAAAGATTGATAAATTAAAATAATAATTTCTGCTCATCAAAAGATACACAGAAGAGGCATGACCCCCAGATGTCAGTAACATCCCCTAGGCTCCCCATGGTGGCTTCAATGGCTCATGCAGATGCCTGGCTGGGCAGAGAAGCCAAAAGCCTCCTCCATGTTGGCTGGGGCTTTGTGGAGCAAAACAGAGGTTGGATCCCAGGGCCTGGAGGAGGATGAGCTGGCTCACCGACTTAGGATGGACACAGAGACAATGGCAATGGATGCCTTAGAGAAAACAGCTTCTCACTTCTGCCTCTGATGCAGAATTTCATGCTGTGGTTGGATATTTAGAGGACAGTTGTGGGTGACAAGCTCCCGTTATTACAGAGAAATTTCATAAGCAAATACTACCAGGGGTTCCAGTTATTACAGAGAAATTTCATGGACAAGTACTATGGACAGGAATTTAAAGACAAAAGAAAATAAACTTCCCTGCATGCCTATTTTTAACAAATATATTTCTTTGGTAGAAAAGTATATTAAAGAACAGCTGCTGGGATGGATTCCTGGATTTAACATGGCAGCCTTCACAACAACTTTCCAGCACCATAAAGATAAAGTGGCTAGTGACATATTTGATATGCTGCTCACATTTACTGATTTTCTGGCTTTTAAGGAAATGTGTTTGGACTCCAGAGCAGAAAAAGAAGGTCTAGAACTGGACTTGAGAGGTGTGTTAGTGGTGACTCTTGTGCAAATTATCCTGTGGCACTAGGCCCCACCTCCAGGCAATGAGATTGTCTAGATGTCAGCAGCCCAGCTCACTGGGAGGCTTCAGCTAATGACAGGAGAATAGGTCTTGGAGAGACCAGCTCTGTTCTGCAACTTTTCATTAACGTCAAGTATTAATGGATCAAAAAACATTACCTGACCCTCCTGGGACCCATTTCTTTAGAAAAACCCTGTGTTCAGTAACCCTAGTACTCCTCCCTAATTGGACATCTCCCTCAGGCACTTGCGTCAGGCTCCTCTGGAGCAAGTCCACACCCAGCATTCCACCTGGGGATCTTCCCTAGCCTACATGTTGCTCTGTCAGCACGAAAGTCTCAGTCCTTCAGCCTCAATGGGGTGTTACTCAAGCAATCAGCCTGTCTTGAAATTTCTGGAGTTTCTGTTGTCAAGCAAGTCTTGGCTATAGGAATCAACTGAAAGAGATACCTTTTATCTAAAAGCTCCATGTTGAAGTCAATACCTAGTCTTATATTTGCAGTCCCTATATCAGTGTGCCTTCTGCTGGTCCTGATGTAGTCCCACTGTTTCTGGAACTCCCTTCAAAGCATTTTGAAAAAATACTTTTATATTTTTATATTGATATATGAATACTCAGGCTAATCTAATGGATATAATCTCAGTCTATGATTACTGACTTCAAGATTAAAGTATTAAATGCAGTGTGCTTTTTAGTTGTTAGTTCTATGAAAGCAAAAATGCTTTCTATTGGGGCTCCTATTTTACTGGGCACCAGTAAATGTATGCTTGTGCTGGCAGTAAACTAAAAGTATCCTTTTCTCCTTTTCTTATAGCATGGTATATGTGCATATTTGTTTAAACTTTTTCTGTACAAATTAGTTCATTAGGTTTTCTGTTGGGGTAAAGGGTCTGCAATTCCTTCTTTCTGTCAAAATCTTCCTACCAAGACAGTGCTCTACTGGTCTAGCTCAGCAGGAATAACGGATAGCAAGTAGCTTTATTGCTCATCTGTCTGTTTTGATTTGGTACATAGTTTCGGTCAAGCACAATGTTTGATGGAATATTACTGACCAGAAAATATGGATGTCAAAACTCTAGAAAAGGAAAATTAATTCCCAATGTGTACCCTAGATTTTTTTTATGTAAAAATAAATATCTGTACTGACTTTTCTCTTGGCTCTTCTGGTTTTAAAGGATAAAAAACACATTATAGGTTATGTGTTTTTCTGCACTTATGTAGCATTATTTAAATATGTTTGTACAATGCATTTTAAAAAGATTTTTAAAAAGTAAGAAGGCAAAACTGCAACCTTGAGGAACATATATTGAAATCATATAACAAACAAAAAGTTCATGTCCAGGGTATATAAATAACTTGCACAAAGTGAGAAAACAAAATGACCTTCCAGCCCTGACCAGGTGTCTCAACTGGTTGGAGTGTTGTCCTGTACAGCAAAATGTTGTGGGTTTGATTCCCAGTCACTTTGCAACAGCAAATGTTTGCAATAGCAAATATCTGGAAATAATCTAAATGTCCATTATCAGGAAAATGGGCACAGACTATGGTATATTCACACAGTGGCATAGTATCAGTGTAAAGAAATGGATACTGTATAAATGACACAACTTGAAGAAAGTTTAGAAACATAATTTTGAATTAGCAAAGCAAATTCTAGAAATCTAAAGCACATATACTGTCTGATACTATAGTCTGATACTATAAAACTCAAATAAGCAATGCTAAGCACATAGGTATATAGGTATAGACGGATCTAAAACTATTATTTTTCAGGATACTTGTTAAATTAAGGAATATGGGAAAAGGAAATACCACACAGTAAATTCAACATTCTAGGTCTTAATCTGGGTCATAGATTCAGAAGTTTTTATTTTATTATATATTTATTGAGCATCTATCATATTTTGACAAAGAATATATGTGGTTATCATGAATTAATGGCAGGCACATTCTGGGTGTTCTGAGCATGATTTCCCAGTCTTGTATTTGGATCAATAAATCTTATAATGAGGACAAAGTAAGTGTTCATGCTGGCTCTGAAACTTTAAATGATATTTTAATACTATCGGCAGCTCCAGAGAAATTCTATACCACTTTTTTGTTATATGATGCTTTTTTTTCTTGAAGTGCTGTACATATATTTTAAATAATTGATATCAAAGTTTTGCGTTCTGCTTTTGAAAGTGTTTTAACACAATTTATGACCTGTAGTTTCATTAGGAAAGATATTATTTTATTAATAAAAGTAGTCTCCAACGGTAAAATACCAAATAAATCAATTAAAAGCTGCAATCAAAAACTACCCTATACCTGTAAATGACAAATGAAAGCTTCTGGCATAAGGTATTAATTTTCATCTCTAAAAAGTCAAAAATTATATTCTTTAAAGTAAATATTACTACTCATCAAGATATGCTGTTTGAGTTTCTTAGCCCCTGAACTATATAGCAATATCCTTTCCTAAACTTTGCTACCCAGAGATTCATTTCTGGTGGTTCCTGCATGAGAGGGTCCAGGGTTCAATCCTTGAGTGCCTCACCTTTGGAGACAGTGGCACAAAGACCTGCCCACTCATTAAGGCAACATGTAGCTGGTTGCTGCCACAATGTTGAAGTCTTCGTTAACTAACATATCACAGTGATGGAAAAAGTAAGAGGCTGGTTAGCTAGGAAGTAGGTCGAAGTGGAGACGTACTGCAGGAAACAGTGCTCTCAGCCAGCGCCTGTAGATAGTAGCTGAATTGAACCAGACGGTATCTGTTTCTTTCATTAATATAAGCATAAATGGCATTAATGTAGACATGGGCCTTTCCTATCTACAGACTCAGCCCACTATCTGAAGTTTAAGTTCGTCTTCAGATACCTGGTACTCAGGAAGCATTCTCCCACTGTTCTACTGACTTTGTAGCCAGGGTAAGTTTATATGCTTTATGGGCTGACTTTTGTCCTTATGAAAAAACCAACCAACAAACAAAAACATGGGCCTCGGGGAGGTAGGAGGTATAGATGAGATTCTATAAGGCTCCTAGCATACTGTCAGGTTGCAAGCCACACGGGATAGGTCAATTGTGGAGGCACGGAGGACTTCGTTAGAGTTGTCTCCTCGTAGCTGTGAGCCTTAGACATAACACGTGACAAACAACATGGAACACAAAGAGAAGAGCTTCACCGCACTTTGGAGACCAGCGGAACTAACCACAGGCTCAACGGGAAGAGCAGCTGCCACAGAGGCTGCTTTCCCTTTAAGCACCTGCGAGCCAGCCCCGCGGAGGGGGCCCGCCGGAAGTCAATGAGTTCTGCCACGAAGTCAGATTCCTCCGCCGGAGGGGGCGCTCAGTGGTTCTGTGAATTCACCCGCGTCTACCCTAGATTCCCTCCTCTCCCTGCCGGCTGTCGCTTCTCCGGCCAATAGTCCCGGGAATCCTGTTTGCCGCGCTCGGATTTAGGCCCAGCCTGGTCTGCGTAGACTTGACCGTGCCGCCTCTGGGACCGCCCCCGATTGCGAGACGCACTTCCGTCGTCGCCTCGGCAGGGTCGGAGCACCGAGGGAAGGCGGCGCGCGGCGGGCGGTGATGGACGCGCTGGCGGTCATGATGCAGGACCTCCTGACTCAGAACCATGCCCTACGCAGGGAGAATGACGAGCTCATGGACCAGGTGCGGCGACTGCTTTGCGAGAAAGCTAACCTGCTAGCCCAGGTGCGGCCGCCGGCTTGCCCTGTGGCTTTTCCTGAAACGTTTACAGGCGACTCCGCCCAGCTTCCCGAGTTTTTGATCCAAGCGGCCTCTTACATGAGGTTCTTCGAAACCAGATTTTCCAACGACACACTAAAGGTGGCATTTTTAATCAGCCGCCTCTCTGGGGCGGCAGAGGAGTGGGTAGTCCCCTACATCGAGCGGGAGAGCCCCATCTTAGCTCATTACGAGGGCTTCGTGGACGCGCTGAAGCGAGCTTTTGGCAGGAATGGGTAGAAAATCGCCAGGCCGGACTCCTGGTGTCCGGAGTGTCGGCCGCGAGCCTCTGTGATCCCCACAACCCCAGCCCTGCTTGGCTTGATTCACAAAGGACTCCCCAGTTCCCAGCTACTCAGCTCCGAGCCTTGCTAGGAAGCTTGGCCGCCGCCTGTTCTTACCACATCCACTACCTTTGCACTCTGCCCAGCAACACAGGCCCCGGCGGGAACCTGATAGAAATTGCGCCACCCAGGATCATGCCCCTGCCACCTGAAAACTCTGAAGACTGTTGCTGACCGCCTCTGAAAATCAGGGTCAAGCTGGGAAGTGCCTGAGTTTGCCACAACCCCCGTGGACACTGATGTGGATCGCTCCGCCCGGACACGGCTTCCATGGTTAGTGTTCCTGGTAGCCAAATTTTGACATTTCTCCCCCAACAATCAACTTTCCACTTACTTCATTTCTGTTCTGAAAACACAAGAGTCTCAAAGATAGTGCTTTTTAGTCACAGAAGTCCAGATACTGGACATTACATGGGAAAAAGTATTTACTTTTAAAATTCGAATACATATTTATCTTACATTGCCATAGGCCTAGTACTGTACTTGGTGTCAAAAGAAAAACAAATAAGAAGAAATATAGGTCCTCAGAAACACAATTATGATTTGGGAAAATATAAGTGCATGTTCTGATGTTTGATAAAACAGTACTTTTGTGTATAAAGAATGGCATATATGAATCTTTTTTTAAAATGGCCTTTTTAAAAACTTTTTGTCCCATAAATTGGGCACATGTAGCTTACAAAGGAGACAGAAAACCCCCTTGAACAACTTTTATGTTTGTTGCTGAATGGGGCGAAGATGTTTGTAAAAATGCAGGTAGCTAGTGGCAAAAAAAAAAAAAAATGCATTTTTGAACTGTATCCACTTGGCCTTATTCCTTCTTAGTAAATGACTTGGCTCCCTCATTTTTTTTTAATTGCTTTGCATTTTGGACTTCAGTTTTTTGTTAATTTTGTTTTTCTATAATTAAAGTCATTACTTGATCATTAAAATTTGTTTTAAAATTCTGTGATTCTTTTATGGGACCAAAGAAGGGAAGGGAAAAAGGAGGATCTGAGCCCTCCTATTGAACAAAGTGTTTCTTGAAGGCCTCCAGGGAGGAAAATCCTAACTGTCTTTCCTTAAAAGACCATACAGTTTCTTGTTCTGGTAGTCAATATAGTCTCACTGAGATGTCTTGAATTCTTGGTCAGATACCTTCATATTCAGGAAAACTCATCACTGCCTCCTTCCTGGACAGTTTATATACCTGAGGACCATAGGAGAAACCTCTATATATTTGCAAGATGTGGTTAACGACAGGTTTTGGCAATTATTTTAACATTGCTGATTGGCATTATAAGAATTCATAAGGATACTGGGCCCTTCAACATGACCTCTTAAATACCACACTTTTGTAGCCATGTGCACTAATAAAATAAACTGAATCTTGGGCCTATTTGCTGATAATTTCAAAGCAGTATTTTTCCCATAGTAAAAAAAAAAAAAAAAAAAAAATACATAATATAACACCAAACTTTTTTCCCAATCAGCCTCACCAAAGCAAATATTTGATAGGATACAAAAAACTTTCTGCCCTGGCTGGTGTGGCTCAGTGGATTGCACACCGGTCCGAGAACCCAAAGTTCGCTGGTTCCATCCCTGCTTGGGGCACCTGACTGGGCTGCAGGCCAGGTCAATGGTTGGGGGAGCTTGAGAGGCAACCGAACAGTGTTTCTCACATTCATGTTTCTTTCTCTTTCTCCCTTTCTCCCTCCTTTCCCTGCTCTCTAAAAATAAATAAAATCTTTAAAAACTTTCTAATGAAAGGTCAGTGTCAACATTTAATAAGTCAAATATAAAACATGTAACACTAAAATATCTCTTCTGTAACTGTCTCTTATTTTCTGTAGCTATCTTGCTGTCTAGGATCACTTAGGACATAAGACTTGCTTAGAGACAGTTAACAGGGAAAGAAAGGAGCCAGCAGAGAAGGTCTTTGGTCAGATCACCTAGATGGCCAACTTTCCTATGGACTTAAGCAATTTCTTCATCTGCTAGATTGAGTCTCTCTTCTGTAGGTGTGTAATAGTTGGTACATTTGGCCTTTCGTTTGAATTCATAATATGTAATACTCAATACACTTCTTCAGCGATTTTTCATTCTTGGGATAGCCTTTAATCATCATTTTCTGTTTCTCAAATCCCTGAAAAGTTCAGAGAAAGATGCGTTCATGGAGTTCATGTTTATGGTAAGTTGATCTTTTTCTTTCAGACCTAGATTTCAGCTTTGGCAAGCTCCTGTTTCTGAGCCTCCTCCATCACCTGGGGTCCAGTTTGTAAACATCCATCCAAGTATTTCAGGTGGAGCTCCTCATATTTGCTTCTGAATTCCAGGCTTTCCATTTGCATGGCCGGGTTCTTCTGTCTAAACTGCAGTATATGCATGATGAGACCAATGGACGCAGGTAGGCCCACAGCCTGAGGACACATGAGGGAGAGTTCATCACAGGGATATCCAGAGTTCCTAAGAAATCATATGCCACCAGCCTTGCTTTAGGTGGATTTCTCAAGAAGTCTTGGCATCATGAGTGCTGTTCTCGTAACGGCCACATAAACCAATGTAGTCAAGCTGTCTTTCAGTAGTGCATCAAGTTAAGAGGTACAAAAATTGTATTCTCAAAGCAGACTCCTTAAATGAAGATATTCTAAACTGCTCCAAATAATCTATCTCAGCGTTTGCACCTAGAATTTCATTTCAGCTGGGTCTCTAAAGCTCTTGTATTTGAGGTCCCCAGCAGGCTCTGACCCGTGCTGAGGAAGGGGAGAGGGCTCACTACCTGGACTGCTTATGTGAACTGATGCATCCAAACAATCCACTATTCCTCCCTTAGCCGCTGCTAAGTCTTCCATGAGAAGACTTATCCTCAAGTGATTCCATTTTAAATCCAAAGATTGAGGGGCACTGATAAAGGGTAGATTAGTCCCAGTAAAGAGCCAGGTGAACTTAAGGGGTACATGTGGAAAAAATTGCACAATTTGTTCCTCTTGAATTTGGTTTGTATGGCTTTACTTGATTTGGGCATTTTATGACTTGCTAGAAAAGCAGTCAACTCTTCATATATTTAAAATTAGGGAATCACTCATTCTAGGGCCAAATAAGCATAATTTGTTATAACACATTTGTTTTCACTTCCTACTATGATGCCAGTTGTTAAGATTTGACTGCCTTGGCTAAACTAAGATTCATCTAATATCTTTATTTTGGACACCTTAAATTCTTGCCAGTTAATTGAAGGTAGCTTGCTAGCAGAGCCGGTAACTACCTATGTAATGCAAACTACAGATAACTATTAATTCAAGTAAAATAAAATCATTTTCTCTAGGTCCTTTTAAATGGCCTGTCAACAGTGCTCTACAATGATTCCCCAGTTTTAAGGAGCATCAGCATTACCTGAGAGGCTTATTTAAAAAAACAGATTGCTGCACTCTATCTCCAGAATTCCTGGGTTAGGATCTGAGAGTTTGCATTTTTTACTATAACTCCTGGGTGATGTCGATGCTGGTGGTGCAAGGGTAAAAAATTAGAAATAAGAGAAATATTTAATTCTCCATGGTGCAAAGAAAAAAGAGCATTTATTTTAGAAAACTCATCATTTAAAAGTCTTTCCCTTTCTCTGATATGTATGTTACCCTTTTTAAAGGCAAAATGAGCCCCTTGCCTATTTTACAATCCAGGAATTTCTCTTTGAAATGGGACCTATAGCCACCACTTTGAACTGCAATCATCAAGGGAAATAGTACCCCTATCTCCTGGCCTCCTGGGGAATATAAAAGCCTAAGGTCAGCAGGTTCCTGGCTCCAAATTGCAAGCCTACCTTTTGTCATTAAGTTATGAGAAATTTACTTTTCCTTTGTATAAAAGCAATTAGACCTTGAGAAGTAGTTACTTATCTTGAGAACATGGATATAATTAATGAGTTTCATCTGCTTTGCCAAATAGGTGCAATTTCTCTTTGTCTCTGCTATCTCTTTTGTGCCTTTCCTGTGATCTGCCTCACATTCTGGTTTATAAAACTGTGTTCTTTCTCGTCTATCTTTGTGAAGATTTTTTACATTGATAAGACACGTTATTTTTAATTATATTACAGTTCCCTAACATCAATCAGGACCACACTTTTGAGAATTACTACACAACATAAGCCCAAATGTATGTAGAACTTTAAATTTCTCTCTAGGACTTTACCTTGGTAGTTTCACCCTGTTCTTATAGCCTGTTAAAATCTGTTTGAATCTTCAAATTCTTCAATTTTGATCCTATCATCTTACCTACTTTATAGCATCTATATCTATAAAATGTATAAACTTGTTTTACTTTTCCAAACCATTCCTAAGTTCTGAAAAGAGGGAACAAGGCTCCCTGTAACAGGCAGTGCTTATTATATTAGTAGTCATCAGACAACTCTGTATCATATATATATGTGTTAGATACTAGGGACACATCTATGAACAAGACAATTCTGACTCTGAAGTAGCTTACAACTGGGAGACAAGGCAATGGGCCATTATAATGCAGAACTGCAGCAGGGAGGCAGGAAGTGTGCCTTAGCAGGAATGCCCCTGTCTCAGCCTTGGAGTGTGTTACGGGCTAAATGTGTCCCTCTAAAATTGTTATGTTGAAATCTGAACCCCCAAAGTGCTGGTGTTAGGAGGTGGGGTTTTGAAAAGGTAGGGCATGAGGGTGGAGCCCTCATAAATAGTATTAGAGCTCATAAAAAAAAAAAAAAAAAAAAAGACACAAGAGCATACTTCTTTTGGCTCCCTCCCCTGTGAGGATATGAGAAGATAGCCATCTGTAAACCAGGAAGCAGGCCCTAACCAGCCCCAGGATCTGCAGGCACCTTGGTATTTGATCTTGGACTTCCCAACCTCTAGGGCTGAGAATTAAACATTTTTTTCTTTAAGCCACCCAGTGTTTTGTTATAACAGCCCAAGCTGGCCAAGACAGGAAGACAGGGATGGCTTCCTAAGAAAGTGGCCAAAACTGATGTTCCAAGGATGAATAGAAATGAGGGGAAGAAAAATGTAGGCAAAGAACCAGTATTTGCAAACCCCAGAGATATGAGAATATGGTACATTTTAGGGAACTGCAGGAAGTCCAAAAAAGTTGGGTGTTGGTTAGAGATGCTATTGGAGAGACTAGGCAGAGGCCAGATTGCTCTGCTTAGAAACAGTTTCAAATACCTGCAAATCCATCTACTCTATACAACCAGAAACTCATAAAGAATTTGAAGTTGTCTCCCTTGGGGAAGGAGTAGATGTATGTTCTTGATTTTTCTTGATCATTAGCTCTTTTGGCAGTCAACTGCCATACGGTGAGAATATTCAAGCTGTCCTGTTGGGAGAGGGGGAGAGGTACTCATCTGGATAGCCAAAAGGATATTCATAGCATGACCAATATTCATTCTCCTCTTCTTCCTTAGCAAGAAAACTGATTTTTAGCTGGACATATGACTGACCACCTGCGAACAAAGTCTACGTTCACCAAATCACCTTATGCATTATATACTCCCTTGTTGTATGTCACCTATTTGCATTTAATTAAACAAATACTGGCCATTGAGATACAGGCAATGTTGTATGGTAAGTTCCAGCAAACCTTCTTAAGGGACTGCCGACACACTTTTCTCCTTTCTTCTATCTTGCTAATCTTGGATTTCACTTATGATACCTGGAATCCTAGCAGATATCTCAGACCACAAGGATAGGGATGATAAACTAGAGATGGTAGAGCCGAGGTCTATGAGGATGAAGGCACTACCTTATCAGGCTTGGACTCCCTGCTTCTAGGCACTACCAATTGGGCTATGAAAAGAATTTACTCCTTAACTAGGAGAGAGTTCTCACTTTCTGCTCAGAGGTATTTGATAATTGATATGAGTTAATACCACCGCTAGTTTCTCCTCTTCCCCTTTTCCAAATGGGAATTTTTATTGTGATATCTTTGGCTATCCATATCCATGTATATCTTTTAATTTATACATTGTCATACCATAAAAAGTAACATATAGCCTAAAGGGACTGGATACATATGATGCAGAGACCCTGAATTTGAGGGCTTCTGATAGACTTGAGGACTACCTGGGACTTTGTACATTGTTTCCTCTAGATTTAAGGCAGCTGAGGCCTCCATTGCAACAATCCAAATGCAAAAGGAAAGGGATTTGGTCTAAGGTGGAAACAACAGAAGTGGAGAGAAGGGAGAGATTCAAGGTATGTTTTGGAGATAGAAATGACCTTAGAAATAAGATGTGGGAAGTGTTTTTTTCGCTCTCCATAAGTATTAGAGATTCCATTTTCATTTTTCTACATCCCTTTTCTTGTTTCTCAAGGGAGGAGTAGGGGATAAAATGATTGGTCGGGGCTCCCTAGTCTATAGACATCTTTTCCTGTGGATAGGATCCGTACCCACACTTCCTATGTTCAGGCAGAGCTGGTGCCCTGGTGCTTTTGTTCCTCTGCAGGGTGGTGCTGTGCCAGTAGACACCTGACTCGATCTGTCCTTGCTCCCCTCCAGTCCATTGTCCACACCAGTCATGGTTATTTTTGTTGGTTTAACTTTTCCAAGTAATTCACTTGCTTTACCTAAAGAAGCTGGAAGTCTGTTTTTGGCCAACAAAAATGGGATATTGCTAAGAAGCATCTACAGTTAACTTTGTTCTTTGCGTTGATGCAAGGGTGGCATTGCCATTATTATGATATAATATTGTATACATCTCACATTTCTCTCATTGGATTTTATTGTTTGAAGCCATCCCTTTGCCAAGCAACCATAAATATCTGCATCAAATAAAATAAAGCCACGTACAATCTACAGTTATAAAAATAGTTTGATAGAGTTGTTTTCCATTTTTGAAAGGCTTATTAAAAAATGAAGCCAAAAAATCATTACAAGTGACAAAAATGCATTGGCTGACCTTTGACATTCAAGCAAGCTCAAAAAAAGCAGAAAAATTAAAGACAAGCAGAAAGTCTGGGAAAATATATGAAGCTTGACTAATGATCATGTTTAAAGTAAATAATGTTATCTTCATGAGTTATTGATCTTTTAATTCATGAATGCTGAGAAAAAAATACCAAGGAAGGATTTGTAAAAGGTCATCAAAAGCAAGTAAGATACAACCAGCTTATTCCCTTTCTTATAACTGATTAAAGTTTTATAAGAAAGGAGAAAAGCAAAAGCTGGGGCGGGGGGTGGGGAAAGGGGGGAGCTGAGAATAACAGAAATGGAATGTGCTCGGTTGAACGATGTCTCCTCAAAATTTATGTCCACCCAAACACTCAGAATGTGACCTTATATAGAAACAGGATCTTTGCAGATTTAAACAGTTAAGTTAAAGTTTGGTCATACTGGATTAGGGTGTGTCCTAAATATAATATGGTATCCCTATAAAAGGAGAGCAGGATGCGAGAAAGGGAAGAAAGGCATGTGACAACAGAAGCAGAAATTGAGCAATTGAACTGCAAGCCAAAGAATGCTAAGGATTGCTGACAACCACCAGAAGCTAGGAGAGAGGCAAGGAACAGATTCTTCCCTAGAATTTCAGAG